ATTTGCGATGGAAGAAAGGGCGAAAAAGAAGCAGAGGGTTAAAGTGCGTATATGTTCTATACACAGATATAATAGCTGGTGAACCTAACTACGTGGTCGGAAAGTATCGTCTTTCATTAAAATTACCCCGCAGCTTGCCAATCGATCTACATTGCAATATGTCTATCATACCGGCTATGTAATTTTCGTTGAACTCTTTATATCGATGTTACTTTGAGTTGAAGAATCGTGGAATTTTTTTTTTTAAAGAATAATATAGGAACTTTATTAGTTCAATTCAATTTTCGATTCAAAATTTGTATCAAAATTTTTTTATTATATTAGTAATTAAAAATTGAATTGAAAAATTGAATTAGATATTCTCAAAACTTATATCACAACTTAAATTAATTGTATTAATTATTTTATATAATATTTTATTATGAAATTTTTAATTATAAGTTTCATTTTTACTATAAAATGCAAAAAGTTTGAATAAATCTTTAATTCAATGTTTCATCGAACGGTCGGCTGATAACTGTGAATAAACAACTCAGATTTTTTTGTTGCAGTAACTTTCACGATATTTCTTCGAAATAACTGAATCATTATCCCTACGAAGTTTTACTGGACATATTATTTCAGTTGGCAGAATTTTAAACAAGTTATAGATTGCGTGAGTCTGCTACACATTGTACGATGTGTCCCTTCGTTTCATATCAATTTTCATATAGATAGAACAAATGTATTTTAACGGATGTAATTTCACAGGTAAATTTATCGAGCATATAATAGCAACTGAATTATTTGATTTAGTTTACGTTACAATTATTTTTTCATTTAATTATTTATGTTTTGGTACGTACAATAAATGTCTAAAATATATATTTTTTTATATATTTTTTATAAGTTTTTATTTTGAAATTATTAATTATTACAAAAATAAATATAATATTAAACAGCATATCCGTATTATCGATAAAATCATTCGTACAAACCAAAATCACTGAGAGCATTTCCCCTTCAAATAACAAAGAAAAGCAATTCTCCAGGGAAGAAATTCTCCTACCAATTCAATCCCATTTTCCAATTTATCACATTGGAGATACACATAAGTAAGTAAAATTACTATCGATCTAAATGTAAAAGAAAAAACTTGAATGTTTGAATCTAATAGCATGGAGAAAGAAGACACGATGATATTTGAAGGCAGAAAATTCTGACAGTCCAATCGATTTCGTACGCATAATACACGTGGTCGACTGTCGATCGATATAATTGAGCACACGTGTAGCTACGTACACGTAGTACGCGAAATGTAAGTAAATTGATGATAATAACAAATGATTGTCACACGTTATTCGCAAATTACGAATTGTCTGAAATTTTTATTTTTTGAAAAACCTGTTTCATCTTTTCTTATGAATGATATTTTCCTAGTATAGATCCATTATGATTTTATATCTAGAAAAAATTTATATTTAGGAAAAAATGATGTTGATGCGTAAAAAAATATGTTTTATTTCATTTCTGAAATTTTTGAAAACTCACTTATATTTTTATACTATTTTTACACTATGAAACAATATAAAGATTTATAGATAATATGTATTTATATTTATAGGTTATATAGACATGAATCTAACTTATAATCTTATAATAATAATTTCAAATTTTCAATAACCTTCCAAGACATTTAATTAATATAATGAAAGATAGCGGACTGACTGTTAAGTAAATTGTGATCAAATTACAGAGAACAGAAAAAGAATAGTAGCGGTATCCTCAGTTTTCAAGACACGTGGTAGTCATGGACACCCCTCATGGTGTCTATGGGTGTTACACAGAAGCCAGACCTTTTGAACATTGACCATATGGTGCACCTATGCCAGAGCCATGATTTATACGCACCCGACCTCATAGGTACGCAACCATAAGATTTTATTAATTAATATTATCACAAAAGTGTCTTATCTATTTAAAAAAAAAAAAGAATTGAAAAAAGAATTTTATACTGAACATTTCTTACATTATTATTATTATTATATGATAATTTTTACCTTGTATATGTATAGTTCATTTAAGATAATAATTTTATTCTTTATTAAAAAAAATTCTTCGTGTCATTTAATGTAAATATTAATAAAGCAATATGCAATAATATTGATCATATTTAATCACATTTCGAAATACCGATTTCTTCGTGGTAATGCGACAAATAAAATGAAATCGAAATAACGGACGAAATATTAATGAATTATCAAGGATACTCAAGCCAAACGCACGATACTTTTTCCACTAATAAGTTATAGATTTGTTCACGACACAACCACGAGACAACCAGAAATGCGATTATCCACGATGACATTTCGTGCATCGCGATGACATATATTCGAATTATATCGGAACTACTAATATTCTGTATAAAAATAATTGATTGATTTCAGATGTGTCACTAGATTTTTTCCATCTGTTCCAAATATCTATATGCATTTTAATATCGTTATAAATATAAATTGAAAAAGATAATAAAATGACGTGATTAAAATATGAAAGATGATACATAACCTTTCAAAAAAGGCGATTAAAAAGATTCATATTTAAATGAGATTATCAACATTGAAAAGAATAAAAAAGAATTAAGTATCGTGCAAAAAACAAATTCATTTGAAATTATAAAATTTATATTGAAAGAAAATAAAAGAAAAGAAAAATCTTATTAGAAACTAATAAACACGCACGACTTCGCAAATAAATTCAACTTTACTATACGAATACGAATTTGAACGAGCTTAGCCGAAATTGAACGAATCAAAAGAAGATTCTAATAAGGATCCCTAATTAAGCGCGCGTAAATTTGAATGAACATGAAAAATATATATGAATAATATACAAATAAATAATGAAAAAATAAACTATTTGTATATTTTTAAGTTAGTCGATACTCGTCATGTTTATGCATGTTTATATGAAAATTTAATGCTCGAAATCGTTTCCTTGTTTTAATAAAAAAGTTGAAGAACATATGGCGAACCTTAATTATCATCAAAGTTGGATGATCCTAACCAGCGGTTTCGTTTCGTCATCGAAAATCGGTTTCATTTCGACGTGAAATCTCTCAATTATCTGATAATACACCTTACATGCTGCCCTTTATGCGATCAGGATTATACGCACTATGCGTCAGATGACCAGATGTCGTCTTTTAAGCTAATATGGCGACACGCAAGGGCTATCTTCTGCTTTTAAATGATATTTGGGTTTGAGAAATTGCGTGACGTGTAATTATCGCAGGATCAGATTATCGAAAGATACTTAATTATTAATTTCTAAGAACATTTTTTCTTTTTTTTTTTAAATTTTCAACTCGAAATGTTATTAACAATTCTATAAAAATATGCATTTGTGATCTAATAAAAAAAAAAGTGGAATAAAGAAAAAAAAGGAAAGACAAACAAAGATATTACGTAACTAAGAAAGTTTGGATAAAAGTTGTCCGATATTAACATTTATAGAGGATATTAAGTGATACGAGGAAATGATGCTGCTGAAACGGTAGCATGCTGTATTTTAAACGGGCAATTTTACGAGTCCTTGGTCACTGTAGTGATTTCATCCCCTCCTGAATGGCGGAAGGGCGCTAACTACCCTTATATCTACTTGCGACAGGAGGGACGCGTGTTCTCTCTCTCCCCCAGGCCTAAACGCATCTTGAACGCCTCAACAGGTCCATGAATAAGTTACGGGGCTGAACGCGAAGTGTCGAAGACGTAATAGATTTCGAGTTCCCTGCACTTTTAAAGGGGCTTTTCTTCGAAATTGAGTAGAGCGTACGGGCTGATTTACTTTCAACCCGAGTACAACCCGAGAGAAAAATCGCTATTTGATTTCCCATCTTCGATAAAGGAACTCGAATAAGCATAATGGTATCAGTTTCAGAAATAGTTTAATAGATTTTATAGATTTTTTGAAACATATATTTAAACTTAAAAATGATTAAGTACATGTAATTACATTTCTATCTCTGATAAATTACAATTTTAATTAATTTTGTCAAAAAAATATTTTCGTGTTCTCAATAAAACAGAAAAATATGAAATCTTATTATCATTTTTAATTGTTCTATAGTTTTCAATATTGTTAAATCATTTTTTTGATTTTTAATTGTAAAAAAAAAAAAATACGATTCTTTGTTCGATGAAAGTTTTTATCATTCGATATTATGAAAAAAGAAGATGCAAGAGCGGGATAAAAGTAAATCGCTACTGCTGCTAACACGGCAATTCTACGAAAAATAAATTGAATGTTGTAGTAAGATCGAAAGAGGAGGGATGCGCGGAAGAGGCAAGTGGCTGCAATGAATTTGCATTGAAAGTGGCTCTTAAACGATTTCTCCCACCCAACTGATCCACCCTCGGCTCTGTCTTCGATACTACGTTAACCTCTAACCAGATTGCAAGGCAAATTTCTTACAAATTTGGTATTAAATCGTTCGATAGATTCATTTTGTATTGCATAAACGTACTCGATTTATCAATGAAATCGTTTATTTAGATATTTTATATCTGCATTCCAACAGGTAAAGAAATATTCATTTATACAACTTCGTATACATGAAGAAAGCAAGAAGAAACGATTACACATACGCTACAATTATTCTAATCTCTCTTTGGAAATCATTTTAATCACGTGTCGAATTCATAGGTATATATATGTATAAAGAAATATTATACATATGCTACAATTATTCTAACCTCTCTTTGGAAATCATTTTAATCACGTGTCGAATTCATAGAGGTATATATATGTATAAAGAAATATTATACATATGCTACAATTATTCTAATCTCTCTTTGGCAAACATTTTAATCACGTGTCGAATTCATAGAGGTATATATATGTATAAAGAAATATTATACATATGCTACAATTATTCTAACCTCTCTTTGGAAATCATTTTAATCACGTGTCGAATTCATAGATGTATATATATGTATAAAGAAATATTATACATATGCTACAATTATTCTAACCTCTCTTTGGAAATCATTTTAATCACGTGTCGAATTCATAGATGTATATATATGTATAAAGAAATATTATACATATGCTACAATTATTCTAACCTCTCTTTGGAAATCATTTTAATCACGTGCTGAATTCATAGGTATGCATATATAAAGAAATATTATACATATGCTATTTATAATTATTCTAACCTCTCTTTAGAAATCATTTTAATCACGTGCCAAATTCATAGGTATATATAGTATATATAGATATATAGGTATATGACAATTTTTATATGTATCGAATAAAAATTATTTTTGCTTTTTTCAGGTTTATTGGGGTTTATTTTCGAGAATTCGATGTTTATCAGGATTGATCGCATACCTGGCATGACGAGGCATGCGTCGCCACAATAATTACCGGGGGATGCGTGTCTTTACGCATAAGGCCCACGTGGAGGGGTTGTGTGGAGGGTGGCACACGCAACTTACGGCTCCAACTATGATTCACCTGAGCCATCGTGTTACTATAGCTACATATTTGGTAGTTACTGATGAGAAGGCTAAAATTTTCGTTTTGCCATGTTTTGCACTGGAAAAGTATAGAAATTGATAAGAATCTAAAGGAAGAGATCAGAAAGAATATGCATATTCTTGATATTATTGGACATTGGATAAAAATGTTTATAAAATTGTATAAACAATGTATAGGTGTTTATTGATTGTCCATAATTCTTTATTTTTTTTTGTGAAAATTTAATAAAGTTAGAGCTAATGTTTTTTTTTAGGATGTTATATGATTATAAATGTTCTGGATATTTATGTGAATTTAGATTTTTATAAACACAATTATTAGAAATAGAAATAGAATTAAAAAAAGATATATTTTATTCTTTAAATATAATATGTAATTTGCTTATACTTCGCATCATTCTACAGATTTTTATACATTTAAATCTAAAAAAAATTCCTCAATCATTTTTCTATCGCACATATAATTTGCTTTGAATAGTTCATATCATTCTACAGATTTTTATACATTTAAATTTTCTACAAATACATAAAATGTATTATCAATGTAAAAGAATCTGAAAAAATTCCTCAATCATTTTTCTATCGCACATATAATTTGCTTTGAATAGTTCACATCATTCTACATACTTTTATACATTTAAATTTTCTACAAATTCAAAAACATAATTTATTGGAAATTGTATCATCATTGTAAAAGAATTTAAAAAAATTTTCTCAGTC